GGGGGGGGGGAGGGGGGAAGCAAAAGTGACAAGATGCAGCTTAAAATTAGAATTGTGTGTCAGTTTCCTAACTGATGCATCTGGAGCTGAATTTCAGAAAAATCAGGGTGCCATGTTTTAAACATTGAAATAGGTATGCTTCGTATTAGGTACTACATTTGAGATGGCTCTTTAAAAATGTAAAGGAGAGCTAGAGATACAGTTACTGTCCATATCTCCCCATTCTACTTTAATATGCTGCTTATACCCTGCTTATAAATAAATAGGAAACCACTCCCTTATGAAAGATGTTTTTGGATTGTAAATGTCAAACATTTACAACAATTGTTCAAAACTACCAGTCTTTTTACATGTTGATTCTTTGTGGCTTATTTGGTGCTTTTATTTTTAAACAGAAATGGATGACACTGTCAAAGAAGTGGTTACTGATAATGAAGTAATAAGGACTCTTCTCATCCATGAATCGAAGTCTTCCTCTGGCACAGGGCATGCCCCTCTTCTTGCCCAAAAAAAGCTGCATGAGTCAGAAAGTGAAACCAGTGAATCAGAGGAGGAGTCCAAACATGCAAAACCTGTGGTAGTGAAAGCAGCAGGGAGTGACTTAGAACAAGACGAGCAGGAAACACTGGATCCTACAATAATGGTGGCTGGACAGCCCCACTTATACAGTGAAATTAATGACAATCCAGAGCTAGTGACACGTATGTCAGACAAAGAGAGAGAATCTTATATTAAGGTGGGACAAGAAATGTTCCAATCTGTCTTTGAGTAAAGGCATTTATTTAAAAAGCAGCTATACTGCACGTGTAAGTTCAGATGTGCTATGTGAAGTTCATTTTCGTAATTTAGCACCCAGCAGTAGCTGGGTGAAACAAATGTAGAGTTCAGGATATCCTTGTCCATGGCGGTGATGCTGTCTAAATCTGGTCATTGGAGAGCTTTCTATTTAAATTTTGCTCCACAGCAACAAAGTGAAAATGTTGCAGACACTCTAGATTAAAAGTAAGGTTAATTAAATAGTTTTCATGTTTCCTGTTTGTGAAACAGTCCTAAATTTTGTTTAATATGCCTGGTATTGTAGTGAAAAGACTAAGTAATTCAATTCCTTAAGAAGCAGGATCAATAAATAAGTTACAACAGGACCCAATTTCTTGACTGCTGAATTAAATGCCTAAAACCAAGGGTTTGTCAGATCCAAAATAGTAAAAGGATCTAACAGGTAATAGTCCATCTCCTCACCAAAGCAATGTTAGATTAATTTCCCTTTACTAATAAGTGAGTTAACTCATCCCTGCTGTAACTTCAGTGCCAATGTAGTCAACAATCCTTCTGGACTGGATGCTACTACTGCAGTAGAGTATTCCAGACAGACAAGTCAAAGTGCTGTCCTTGCAACAAATCCCTGCTCCCAGATTTTTCAAGAGCAGGGTTTCCCAACCTATAGGTTGCCATTACATTTCAAAAGGGTCACCAAGTGTCTTCCCAGGTGGCTCTGTTCCTCCTCCTCCCCCCATTTTTTGAATTGTCTTGGGGATCCATTTTGACAATTCAGGAAGACTTGGTAACCCATCTGAAAAAGGTTGGGAACTGCTGTTCTAGAGTTATTACTAATGCTTAAAATCAAAACAATGAACAGTCAGAACAGCTTGATAATTTTAAAATTGTCTGGATTAGCAAAAATGGCCCTCCCCACATACCCACACAGCTGAAATCTTACCAAGTACTCTAAGTGATCACTTTTGGGATGAGAAGGAACTAAAATCTGGTGGTTGTTGTTAGTCTAAGGTGCTGCAGGACATTTTTTGTTTTTTCGGTTAGACTTACATGGCTACCTCAGACTTGCAGGGTAAAGTGTGAGCTGAGGTCCCAGAAGAGAGGTTCATGCATAGGAAACCACAGAATTAATGCAGTCCAAGGCTCCAAGTGCTCATTGCCATCACCTAATTGGACTTCCTGTTCAAAACAGGCAAGAGAATTCACCCCAAAGTATTCCTAAAGCATAGCTGGAGGGGGAAGATGGGTGTGGAAATCCAACATGATTTTAAAAGATTGGGATGTTAAGAAGCAGGTAGCTTGCTAATTGTGTAGTTGAGGTGGGAAGGCAGTTAAAGCACCCAGTCCTGGCTTGTGGTCCAGGGTCCAGAACTACCCTGGTGTAGTTCTGCATTTAAATTGTATTAGGAGTTGGGTGGAAAGGCAGCTTGGTTCAGTCCTGGCACTACCTGACATTAGGGTAGCTTCCAGACCTGGTATGTACCAAGACAGAGCAGAGCTGCATGCTGCTAAACAATTTACTGGCAGGGGAGGGGAGGGGAGAAATGCATGTAGTTAACTGATAAGCAAAAGCTTATTGGCTAATGTCAATTGACTACACTATTACATCCCTGGATAGACTCCATCAGACTCAGTTTACAAGGGATCAATTACTCCCACTGTTCACTTTTTATTTCTAGTCTGAAATTGTCCAGCTTCAACTTCCAGCCCTTTTGTCTACTAGATTGAATAGCTAATTATTGACTTGTTTTCTTGTAGATAGAGACTGTAATGAAGTCATACATTAGTCTTTTTAAACTAGAGTTCTTTGAATCTAGTCACAATTAGGCATGTTTCTAAACCTTTTGTTTTGTGAACCTTCTTCAGTTTATCAACATCCTTTATGAATTATGAGCAACAGAACATGACGGGTATTCAAACAGAGGCTGCCCTGGTGCTAGATACAGGGGAAGAACTTTTGCTTAAGATCCACCTCCTCTTTATGCAGCCCAGAAGTTAGTTCTTTTGGCTAGTTGTCACATGTTTGGGTGAGTTCATGTTCAGTTGATTATACACCATGACCCCTAAATCTTTTTAGTTTGCTTCCTGGAATAGACCCCTCACCCTAGCAAGTATATATTGTCTGCTTGTTCCTGGATTTATGTTTACATTTTAGCTATATTAAAACAGACCTTGCTTACCAAGTGATCACTTTGCCTATCAAGGCTATGGAAGAAACACATCACAGGAAATATTTCCGGTTAAGTTGACAATGTAACATTTTTACATTCAAGAATGGATTCCGACAGGATCCCTATTAAAAACATTTACTCAGGCTGTGAAATGTAAACATGACTGTGTTAATTTTCTAGCATTCTAGTTTTTTAAATCAATAGTGTGCTGTTAGTGCATGAAAGCTTCAGGCTACATTGGTGACTCAGAGGTAAAGCTTAGATTGTTTTAAAATAATAAGTACATGCAGATTTATCAAGTTACAAAACAGAACTAAGTAGAATGCATCATCAAGTAGTGGTGGGAAGTATTGTAATACACCTTTGGTCCCTAAAGAGCTCTTGGCCAATTACTTTTGATACAATTTTTGATTTGTTCTAAGCCAGTGGCCCCCAATCTTTTGGCACCACATGCCTAAAGGCGGGGCTGTATACGTGCTGTGCGCCAGCCCTGGACACACGGCAGGCCCTGTGTTGGGGACCACGGCTCTAAGCACTAGCTGTCGTTCAAAGGCCTTTAATTTCCTTGTACCATTTTCCCCTAGTCTTGTGTTCAGTGATAAGCCAGTGTTTTAGGGGCTTTAAAAGTCCACTTTCTCCTGCAATCCTGTTTAAAGTACCATACTGGTATTTGATTGTATAAGTTAATGTAACTTCACTAGGATAAGTTCACTAGTTAGAAAAGTGAAGCATTCTCACAAACACTTTCCGCTTGACTGACAACAGACAAGCAACTCTATTCCTCCATAGATCTATCTACTTGCTCACTCTATTTAACAAAAGGCAATAGCTCTAAAGCAGGATTGTCTTTCACAACATCAGTTGTTCTGAACACTTGTCAAAATGGGGGAGTACAAAGATATAGAAGTGGTATCTAGATCTGTCCACAGAACATACTGTAGCAATTGACCTTAAATAATTGTCCTTGTAGAATTACAAGTTGGAAGCCCTCAATGTAACTTAAGTGAAACAAACAAAATACAGGACTATGTAGTACTTTAAAGACTAACAAGATAGTTTATTAGATGATGAGCTTTCATGGGCCAGACCCACTTCCTCAGATCAAATAGTGGAAGAAAATAGTCACAACCATCTATACCAAAGGATACAATTAAAAAAAATGAACACACATGAAAAAGACAAATCAAGGGGGGGGGGGGGGAAGGAAGGTAAATGTCTGTGAGCTAATGGTATTAGCTTCCCCAATTATCACCTCTATCTTTGTAATGGGTAAGATAGCTACACAGTCTTTGTTGAGACCCACACGTAGAATGTCGAATTTTAGCATGAATGACAGTTCAGAGGATTCCCTTTCAAGTGCAGATTTAAAAGGCTTCTGAAGCAGGATGCATGTAATTAAGTCCTTGAGACAGTGTCCTTTGTGGTTGAAATGGCAAGAAACTGTTTTTTTTGTGATCCTGACTAATATCTGTTTTGTGGGCATTGATCCTTTGGCGAAGTGTCTGAGGCGTTTGTCCAACATAGCCCTGTATTTTGTTTCAGAAATGTAGCCGTGTTAGTCTGGTGTAGCTATCACTATTTTAAGTGAAACAGTGCATCCTTGAGAAATTTTCAGAGGCTCATTTTTCTGCTCAGTTCTTCATTGAACAGTTAAATCAGGAAGCCTAAAAATACATTTCTAAAGAATAAAGCGCTTATGACTTCTCCCACTCTAGCTGTTGTAACTGCAGTAAGAAAGACTTTTTGACCAATAAATACTGCAACCAAGCTTTAGTATAATGGCTAAGTAACAATTTTCTGGAAGATTCCCACCTCATACACAAATAGGTGTAGGCTTCAGGAATACCACACTGGGGGGACAGGGTATAGAGGGTCCTTTGACTTAAAGCAAGCCCCCCCCCCCCTTATCAGTTTAACTTGCATAGAGAATAGGTTTTCCCTCCTCTGTCCATTTCTCTCCCTAATCACCCCCTCCATTGTGCAAAGGAACAGTTATGAGTGGTTCTGTACAACTTCAGTTCTGGACTCCAGTAGCACTGCAGCTGCTCAACTTCTTTCCCCAACTGGAGAAAGACTGCCACTCTAATTTTCAGCAAGCAATAAGGAAAAAAACCTACTCAATAGATATAGTTACTAGACTCTTGCACTCAAGAATACTTTCTGCACTATGTAGCCAACCAAGGAAGACAGCATTAGGATAAACAGTGAAACATTTTTGACTGGGACTTTTAACAGGGTTGAAAAAAGAAATAGATAAATTCCTGGAGAGCAAGTCCATCAATGGCTGTTAGCCAGAATAGGTAGGAATGGTGTCCCTGTTTGGGAATGGGTGATAGGGGAGGGATCACTTGATTATTATTTGCTCTGTTCATTCCCTGTGGGGCACCTGGCATTGGCCACAGTCAGGAGATAGGATACTGAGCTAGACAGACCCATGGTCTGACCCAGTATGGTTATGTTCTGAAGTCAGGAATTTCAAAAGTTAAGGTTCTCATACTTGGAATTAAATATCCTAATGATGGTAGGCTAATAATGCAGGCTGTTTTTATTTCTACTTGGTATGCCATAATATACTGATATTAATTTTAAATAAGTTGATAACCTAAACATGAATATTCACATCACTTTAACATTTGATTAAATAAGTGCTCATCATAACTGAACTAAGTTGTTAGCAATTTAAAGGTTTGGTGTTTGATGGGAAGGGAAATCTGTTCAGTTTAAATATAGGTTGAACCTCTCTGGTCAGGCTGTCAGATAGGATTTTGGCAGGAGAGGGGCAAAGGGCCAGCAGCCACAGGGAATTAATTTCAATAAAAATTTCAATAAAATTGAAGTTGCTTGTAGTTATATCAATTGAGTTTTGTAATCACACTTCCCTATTTCTTAAACTTTGCTGATTGTGTAGAACACCTGCACAAAGTAAGGGGGAAATGATTAAAATAAGTACTGTCAAATGAAGATGGAAGAAACTTCTAAAATTAAGGTAATTGAAAGTGGATGTGAGGTAACAGTAGGTAAACACAGTTTCAGAGCCATTAAACTAGTTGTCCTGAGCCAGGAAAACTGATACAGTATGTCATTCAGACAACACTGCTACAATTAAATATTCACTACAGAGCCCTTCATGCTGTCATGAGCTAGATGCCTTTGCACAGCATCAGAACTGTTCCAGAAATTGTAAAATAATGATTCACGAAGGCTTTACAGACAAGTTCAACCTTTATTTAAAACTACATTTTAAACCATTTAAAAATTACTCAAATCACAATAAAAAAGATTAAGACAGAAAAAGAACAGTGCAGTAAGAGTAAATAAAGGATTCAGTTACAGCTGTTTGAACTGCCCTGCCGGAAGTCAGCATACCTATCCTAAATGCAGTAGTGTCAAAAACTAACTTACATTTTTATACAGATTCAAATTTAGTGACATTTGTGCCAATTTTCTATATGCACTGGTATATGTGGATAGGGTCTAAGGAAGGAGTTTCTGGAATTTTTTCATGCACTTTGAGCTCCAGCAGTTTCTGCAAAACAAAAATTGCACTCATCAGGAACAATTACTGAATCTCAATTAAATATACACCTGTTAAGATGCATAACTGCTTAAAAGTAATGGGTGAAAACATTTTAATAAGATGAGCCCTACTCGTTGTTGGACTACAGACAGTTTGCGCACTGTGACCGATGCAACCCATCACGTGAGCATTCTTATTTCAGATGAAGAGCACCCTAATTCAGTTTCAAATTTTAAGCAAAACTGACAGAAGATATTCAACCCAAAATAAACAGAGAGCTCCAGAACCAATTAATTCATTGCAATTTTGTGTAGACTAGTCCATAGTAACATTTACATGAATCCAACATTAAGAAGGAAAACTGCAATGTCTTATTCCCATACCATACAGTTAAATATCAAGTTTTTATAACTGTTCAAATATCTGTGTCTCTTACTATTATACTAGCACCCTTTCATCTGATGTGAACTGAAATTAAGAATAGGACCCAAGCCAAACTTGAAATTCTATTTTTTAATTCTACGAAGTTGGTTTTGAAAATCTCTTTAAATTTAGCACAAAAGAATGAACTTGTATGTCAGTTAGCCTGATAGTCTATTGGACTGTACTTTAATTTTTTACACGTAAACTGGAATGTAATATGAAACCTTTTAATCAGAAAGTAAACCAGAAAATATCAGCTTGTAATTAAAACCCATAATAAGCAAGGTATGTCCAGGCTTTTAAAATACTCAGGGCCAGACTAAGGTGTGGGTGAGCCAGGCAACTGCCCGGGGCGCCAACCAATGGCAGCTGTAAGGGGCGCGAAGCATCCCTTATAGCTACCACCAGGCACCAGCCCCCCCTTATCCCTGCGGCGCCGGCCCTGCACGGCCAGGTACTGCACGCCAGCAGCGGTGGCCAGGCTAGGCTGGGCTGGGCAGCGCATACACCACGTGCACCAGGGGCGGGCCTGGGCTTGGGGTGGGCCTGGGCTTGCGCCGTGCGCCCCAGGGGCAGCGGCGCACACCCGGGCCCAGGGCACCAAAATGGCTCGGGCCAGCCCTGAAAATACCACTTGTTTGTGTGACTTTGCATCTTCCCATCTTGAACAGAAGAGAAAGGGTTCAACCTCCCTTCCTTACTATTTAAGCATTCCTCACTTACGCATCTGAAATATGTCTAAAAATGCCATCAAAATTTCTGGTTAAATCAACTTGGATTTTTTTCCTCCTTCACCTCTTCTATCCCTAACTCCTTTCCCCACCTGCATCTCACCTCCCTGCTGAAATAGTCAATACAGATTCAAAGACTTTATTCACAATGTTGACCCCAGTTACCTACAAATTAAGTAGTTCTGAATCATATAATAAGTGTAATTAACAGTAGCAGGCTTAGCAGTAGTAGTTCTGAATCATATAATAAGTGTAATTAACTTATATCAGAACCTTCCTTACCATAACTTCAAATTAGAAAAGGATTGCTTCTTTAGTCACAGTTGAGATTATCCTGAGTGGTAAAAGTTACTGAAGTCAGCAGCATACCCATGTGTAAGAAGCTATTTGCATATAGACAACCACACTTAAGTTGCAGCCCTCGGCATTTGCTGTATCACTGTTGCAGTGGAGGTTTCCAAAGTTGAGTAGCCCTGGTTTAGACCCTAATTAAAGCTTAACTCTCCCTAAAGGATACCCATGAGTTAGGAATTTAAAAAATCTCTTACCGGGTTCTTTCAGTATTTGAGAGTCTCCTGCTAATTCTTCACCTTGCATTCCATCACTATCTAGTATTTCGTCAGACAAACTATTAGTCTTGGCCTCTGCCACCATTTTCTTCATTAGATCTGCCTTGGGAGTGGATAAAACAAAGCAATTTACAAAATCATGTATATCCCCCCCACCCAACACACGCACTTCTTCATCCTCTCAATTTAGAAAACAAGACTCATTTCTGTGAGGGGTTCTTGTAGGTGCAGAAAAACAAGCAAAATACCTCTGAATATATTGTGAGTTTAAGCGGCAAGTCTTCAACTTTCACAAAGTCATCTTCATCAGACTTTTGACTTATGTTTCCTGACCCAGCTTCCTGTTGACAGAATTTGACATTTTAAGAGGAAAATACAGGGGTACGTGATTCTGCTCTCTATGTACTCAGATATCTGTACTTAAAATACACAAATATATACAGGTCGTACCTCCCTTAACTGGGACACTCTGGTCTGGCAATACGTGTAGTCCGGCAGGACAAGAGATGTTCCTGTACCACAGAGCCCAGGTATAGGGAAGTCTGGCATTGGGGTATGAGCAGGATGTGTGTGAGAGAGAGATTCAGCCAGGCGCCCCATTGCAGGGGAAGAGCCCCAAAGAGCAGCATCTGGCTAGCAGCCCGGGGAGGGAAGGAGCGGGGCAATAGCATAGGTGGGGAAGGGTCTCCCCTGGTCCAGCACATGCCCTCATTTGGGACTGGTCAGGTCCCAGCGAGGTCCAACTTGTACTCTTAAAATATAACTAAAAAGCAAAGAAATGAAGTGCTTGTATACACAATTTAACCTACAAACTGAATGAGTCTGG